TTTTCCAGTTACCCTGCAATGGATCTTGTTGTAGCTTATCTGCATGATCGAGCTTTACGAAGTGAACGAAGGTATCGGGACCCTTTGGATCCCATAAATATAAGCGATGAAAATCTAATTAGTTATAGGTTTCCTCAATGTGAAATTCTAAGACTGTGTGAAGATTTAGATCCATTTTTAAGGCGTAGAACGAGAAGATCTCATGCTGTTCCCATACACACGCAAGTGTTAGTTGCCTTAAGATTTTACGCCAATGGAACCTTTCAACATGTACTTGGTGATACAGCTGAAGCTGTAGCAGGGACAGGCCAAGCAGTCTGAGCCAATGTAGTCCGTAATTGGTTTACTTGATGAATTAAAATCAAATATCAATTCACCAATACAATTTTCCTCTATGTTTAAATAGTACTTTTTAGTGCAGTATACAGAGGTAATGCGAATAAAGCGTACATTGATTTAACTTTTATTTTCAATATTCTGTACATAAAAAAATAAACTTCTTTATAGAAATTAAATGGCTTTCTTTTACCTTAATAATATATGTACTATATCCTTGAGCAAATTTGATTCCAATACAGTATACTTTTAATACTACTAAATACCAAAGGCACTAAAGTTTGTGAAACAAAAAACCCTTACATAAAACATATTTGAGAAATTGAAACAATAAAAAATATTGCAACTGTTTGCATCTTAAACTACACAATTTGACATGGGTCACCACATCGTTGTGAAATAATGATACAACTACTGTTATTTGTTGCCATTTTTTTTATTTAAGAATGGAATACAGTATAATTTTCATATGTCTAGAATTACCTCCATCAATACCAGTAAATTAAAAGAAACTTATAACCCAATACTGTACTACTACAAGTAATAAAGAAAAAAATAGAATACTCTTTGCTTGTTAAGCTATAAAATGTAACATGAGACAGCACATCCTTATGAAAGATCCAATGCAACAACTTGCGCTTTGGAGACTAATGTGTGTTAAATAGCAGCGATTACAGTAGGCTGTTGGTGAATTTGCACCATTATTTCTGTTTCAACCTACTTGAATCATACTTCACAAACTACAAACTAATAAATAAAACTCGTTGAACTGGAAATTGACTACGTCTTACAAAATAAAGGAACCTTTAAAAAATAAAAATGTGTACATAAGCCTGTTTTCAAACATAATTTTGAGTGTGGTAGGAACTTTTACCCAAAACCTGGGTAAACATTACCCGTAGTAGCACTGCAACCCATGTTATTAGTTGACAAATGTGTGTCTTTCACTTAGCTTCGTGATTTTAATGAACTTATGGAGAGCTAAATATTCCTGTTACATTTTCATGACTAGTATAGGCTGCAAGTGAAAGTTACACAATTTTTTAACAAGCCGTCTTCCTTCATAACAATCACTCAAAGGAAAATTTACAATAAATGTTTGATGACTTTTCAACTACGCTATTATCACATTTACCAAAAGTAAAGGACTTACCTAAGTAAACAACTACATATACACATATTGTACCATAAACACAGCATCATTGGATAGGATTTTTCGACTGCATAACTTTTGCAATGCATAGCATTGCAGATGCAATGCACTCTGTGTTAGCTACAAGCTGTAAAAAACTGTCCCTCATTTGTGTTTGAACACGAAGCATCTCTCTCGAAGATCTTCATCTTTTCGTGCAGAAGAGGTTCGTGGCCTCCTGCCACTTCTGTTCGCACTTGGGATTGGAGGTGAACCCATTTCATCAGTGTAATCACCAGTTACAGTTGACCTAACAGCTGTGGCAGAAGGGGTACTATACCTACTTCGCTGTTCCGTGGTAGCAGCAATAGGTTGACGAGTATTGCTTGAACTACATGTTTCTCTACCTCATATGTTCCGGATGATGAAAATCCAGGAATGTTTGTAGGTGCTGAAGTTTCAGGTTCTAAATGCACAATGGGTACTGTGATATCATGTTCCTGTATATCCTCATTCAGAATGAGGGTTATAGAATCATCTTTCTCTTGAACGAGCCGAAACATAAATTCCTCTCGGAAACAACTAGCTGTAAACCTAGCTCCTGAGGGTCCGGGGGTTGGTTCTCTTTCTTCTTCTGGAAAGAAATGTAGTATAATAGGTTGATTGAAGTCTATGTTAAGAGTATAATTAAAATATTACACTGTATTTCCAAATATACAAAAGCTTTTAGGAAAAATAATGGTTTGAAAAATAGTGTTGACCATCTAAATATATTTGTTTAAAATAGTTTTAAATCTAAATATCAACTAGGCGTTAAATTTCTTATATTTGCACTTCTCAATTTTGTCCATTAACATACGAGTTATAACAACAGTTAATATATAACTTAGGGAAGCAATAAACAAGCTAGAAATGAAACCAACTTACTAGTGTTGTTATTTTTCAAAATTATATAAAAAATCAGTATACTGTACAGTATTTCCAAATCAAGATGTGAAAAAATGTCTCCAAAAGTTTTTTTTAAATAAAAACAAGGACAGAAAAGAACAAAATATATCAGGGGGTTGGAAAAATATTTTGACTGAATTACCAGTAATAGGTTCTTCACTTTCAACATCCCCTGGAATCCCATGTATAGAGGCTGGATCTAATAGTTGAAGAATTGCATCTTCAATTGCAGTGTATGTAATTTCAATTTGGGGGCCGCCACCTTGAAGAGAAAATATAAATAATAACTGTCTTACTGTGAGCTGTGGTTACATACACTATACGCTAACTATGTTATATTTGGCAGAAATCATAGTTACAAAGGAATCTACTGAAATAGTTCCAAACATTATAACCTAACCTATCATTGTAGCTGTAGCCACAAAAATTCTCCTTTATCTATGTCAAAAGTTAATTAGATTTAAGGTAACAAACAATAAATGGTAAAATAAGTCAAAAAAAATAGTCGCAGCCAGAAATTTTCAACCTGTATTAGTTGTAAACTCATAGGATAGAACATCCTTGCCTATAAGCCTAACAAAGTAAAATTTACATATTAATGTATACCAAATATGAATATAAACCTATTGATGAATGAAAATTAACGACATAAAAAAAGGAATTCTATGGCAACTTATACATTATGACATTCATTACCGTCGGAAATAACGTAATTATTAATATGTAGTTTATAACAGTAACCAAACCTACCTAACATAGCTTCCTTTACCAACGAGAGGCCTCCGCCGCCCTGCCACACAAACTCATATTAACTATCTCTGTTCCACGTCAGTTGCGACACAATGACAAGTGTGTCTTAAAATTGTGTAATCTATATGATAGGTATAATAAGAAAATCCAAAAGTTCTGGGGAAATTATTAACAGTAGTACAGACTTCCCTGACTACCGGGTGGGAAGATATTGGAAGCATAATGTGTTGTCTAATGGTAGACCCTGCTGCCATATGGCATCACGAAAATTAGGAGCAAGTCTAAGGTTGCTAATCTGACTAAATGTGTCATTTACACACAATTGCAGGGTCGCAATTGTTTCTCGTAATATCGACAACACAACATACATACTGTATATTGATTCTCACTTTTTGTGTTCTCATTTCGGTATTTATCGTTATTTATTATTAATATTATTATTAATAAAGTGGTATTTTTATTAATAGTACTAAATAATTATTATTACAGGCCCCGACGTGAGTCAGTGACTGTGCCTGGGTTGGTTAATCCACGTAAAAAGAAAAAAAAATTTAGGTTGAACGGTAAAGTTGTTTACTATTTACTCACACGGAAAACTTCGAAGAACGATGTTTCTTTTAATGAATGTGCTCATATAAGGAAAATATGTGCATTCATTCACGATGGAGAGCCACCACACTACTTACTTCCTTGAGTTTACAAACACGTAAAATCGTACCAAGCCTCAGAAAAACCGTAGTTAAGTTTGTTTCATATTATCAATCAATAACCACGCTAACAATATTAAGACTTACCTGTTCCACCAGCATATTTCTTATCTTGTGCTGCTTTTTTCGTAACGCTAACACGAAGGAAAACTTCCGCCGAATTTCAGTAACATTGCGGGTGACTCTACCAACAGCATTCACCGCATTTAACACTTCACCCCAGGCTGGTTTTGAGTTGAAGTGTACAACTACTTGAGTCCAACTTCCCTAAAATCATTTCTTTTCGTTTGGCTACCTCAGTCACAAGAGCGTATACTTCAGCCTCACTGAAATTAGGTCGTCTCTTCTTGGCTGGTGGTCCTTCCATGTTTACAAAATAATATTACGTGCGTCGCTCTCAGCTGATTTCTCCTTCTCTTGTGATTGGTTGATGATTTTGTTAACTGAGCGTTGATTGGCCAACTAGCATATGCACTGACATCTACCGTCCGACAAGAGAACTTAATTTACAGGGTAAACACTAGAGTTACGAGAACTTACGGAAGTCTTACGGAACCATAATTAAATTTTGAGTATGCTAAATTTATGGTACTGTAAGGCTTCCGCAATATATGGTACTGTATCATGCTGAAAAACGTAACTTATGAGGTGTTTTGAGTATCCGGCCCTTGGTGTACTTATTTATGGGACATTTGTTGGAAAAGGCCAATCAGTTCATTATTTTAAACAGAGCTTTTTAGCTTTACACCTGACTGTTAGCATAAATTTTAGTTGATTCGTGGGATTCACTACAAAATTTTAGTTGTGAGAATTTTGGCCCATATTTATAAAACCAATAAAAATTTTAAATCACACATTAATGTGTCCCTGAGAGGACAAATTTTTTATGATTTTCTATACTGCATCTGGAAGTGATGAGGCCTATTTATCATGGATATAATATATGGTTATAATCTTTGGCTGTTTATTGTGGTAGTATTGTATAGCTATAGTGCAATCATTACTTTTGATTCAGTTGCTGTTGAGAACATTAAAGCAAATTCTTAAAGTAACTCATTAGGAAGAAAATATGAAAATAAAGTATAAAAATGACAATGGATCACATTTTTCTTACATTATCAAATTCCAGATTGATATTTGCACCGTGTCATTTTCTGATGGCAGAGCATTTTGTCTTCTTCACCATTATTAACCTGACCTGATTCCTATGGACCTTATCAACTGGCATCATACACAGAAGCTACCATCTCAGGTAAGTCTCCTGGTCAGATTTCTCATTTAATTTCTAAGTATGCTAGTCTGGGGGGTCTGCAGCAGGACCACAGTGAGTAAAGTTTCCTGAAACTGGAAATTTACCATTCCTTGAATGCACAGAAAATAAAATTGTGTATACAGTAATAATCTCCCTTAGAAACCCAAAATTGCCTTATACTGTATGAATTTCATAAATTAACTAGTATTTTTCATGTTACGAAAGCTTCCCCGCTTATAGGGAGTTTGGTACGGGCAAAACATAAACTCACACTCCCCGACAATCAACTAGGGCAGCATCATCCACCTAGCCCCCTCTCTAACAGGCTCAGGTGGGACTTGTTCCCCTCCTTCCTTGGTCTTCTTGTGAGTTACCTTGGCAAACAATTCAACCTAAGAAAACTGCTTTCAACATTAGTCTTTTTGTAAATGATCATGTCATTTAATGCTAAAAGAACTTTAATACAATGTGCTACGTGGTATGCAATGGAATCAGTACCAAATTTATTGTTGTATATGCTCCCCCCATCCCCCTCATAATTTACACATTAATATTGTAGAAATACTAAAGAGGAGCTTTGGTAAAAAGAAGTACTGTATACCTCTGTCTGTCTGTCTGTCTGTCTGTCTTTGTGGGTGACGGATTGGGTAGTGTAATCTCTCAGGTAATTTGTGTTGTTAATATTGTTATAGTATCCCCGCCTTCATATATCTCATGTTTTCCCACAGGGAGTTGATTTGATCATGTCACTGGATGACAGCTTCATTGAAATGACATACACAGACACAAGTACTAAAGAAGATTACAACCGCACGCATGCGATTGAAAGGGACAATTTGGCTGTTTTCAATGACAAGGTATGTATTGTCTCCCAGATAATATTTTTTAAGGTCATTACATAACTTATGCAGTTTGCATTTTTGATTATTTAACAGTAAGACAGTATTACGAGGCTATGTTCCTCCCCATGTAGTGGTGGGGGAACTTGAGGTCATGTTCTCCACAACACAGTTAACATTTGAATTAGTCAAGTGTATGTCTGGACTATCATCATCTGGCAGTATTTTTCAATAAAGGCATAAGATGTAGCCTGGAGGTTAAGAATCCGCTTATTTGGGCTGCCCCTCAACTCCTAAAAACACCCCTGGCCCCCATGTCCTCATTTACCGTATATACCTGTGTGTAGTTCGAGTATTTTAGACCGATTTTGGGTGCAACAAATTGGGGGGGGGAAATCTAAACGGGTAATAGTTTCGTTAGGTTGAAAAATATTTACAAGTAACTACCAGTAAACAATGGAAACGACGCAACACCAGCTGTGAGTGTCCGAGCAGTTGCCAGGGCACATCTCTTGCGTCATCATAGTAAGCCCAAAGTAGTCAAATGCATGGTATGGTAGCACAGGACGATGTAAAACATAAAGTATTCATTTTTTAAAGTTTATTTAGAGATACATTAATTTTTGTTCATTACATTTGAAACATCAATCTTTGTTAATTAAATTTTAAACAAAAGAAAACTATGTTACCATATTTCTAAATAACGGGTATTTTCATTAAAATATTACATCACAAATATATTTTTCATTAACTGTGACTGAATGAATATATTCTCAGAAATAAATATGGAAATGTAATATTTTGGCTGAAATTACGTACTTATTACAGTGGAAAGTGGGATAAAATCATGACGAAAACAATGACTTTCGCTTTCTTTTGTTTGTGGGGTATGGGATGTTTGGTTCACACTCAGGATGGGATCGAGAAAGGAAACTCACAATGTGCTCTCTGTATACATGTTGTATTGGATGTACAATGCAGCTTGGTGCTGGGAAGGCAGCATGGTTACAAGCGTGATGTAGAGAGAGCTGGTTGGTGAGGGTGCTCAGAGGAGGACAGCTTGTGGGTCGCCATGCTCGCCGACGGGAGCGAGGACCGCCAGGCAGGCGGAGGAGGAGGTGGTGTTGCTGGCTGGTTGGTGTAGGTAGAAAGAGAGAGATCACGAATCGAATCGAAAAATGTTAGTGACAGGGTGGAAGGAGGTTCAGGGGAAGAATAAAGGGAGGATTGAAGTGAATTTTAGGAGGAGAGAATAGATGCAGTGGCTAAACACCGCTTGCGTGAGGGAGTATAAGATGGAGGCAGCAGCAACTCGCCTGGACGGGGCCGGGAGGCAACAAGACAGAGCCAGGCTAGCGTCAGGTGCGTGTTGGGTTGGGCAATGGATATTCAGTGCTTGGTCGGCTTGATTGTGTGTGTTGGTTTCTCGTGTGGAGGAGATGTCTTGGTCTTCTTAGCTTGATGTCGATTTTCTTCTCACTCTCCTCCTCTTCTTGCTCTCTTGTAGTGTCCATTCGTTTGTGTTTGGGTCTTGTTGTTCATCTTCCTCGTGTATTAAGTCCTCATAGGTGTGGAAGAAGTCAGAGACGGTGAGGTTGACCACGTGGGCTTCAGCTCCACGGGCGACGTGGTGGTCTTGGTTCTGTGTGGTGGGCGTCTTCTCTTGAGTTTTCTTTTCTTGGTTTTTCTTTTCTGCTGGTTTTTTCTTTTCTTGGGAGCGTACAGCAAGGAGGGCCTCTTTGTAGCTCAGTTTCTTCTCAAGACGAGCCTTGGCTACCCTGCATTCCTCCTTCCATTTGGGGCAGGTCCGATCGGCGGAGGAGTGTGGGCCACCACAAGCAGCGCATTTTTTTACTTTGTTGGGGCAGACCGTGTAGCGGTGTCCAGGGCTGCTACACATGGAGCAGGTGTCCTCCTGCGCCTCACACTTGTTTACAGTGTGTCCATAGTGCTGGCATTTGTAACACCGTTTCGGTCTGCAGTAGGGCTTGACTGGCACAGTTACCCACGCCAGTTGAGCCTCCTCGGGTAAGGTGGAGTGGTGTCCGATGAGGGCAGTGGTGTTGGACAGCTTCTTCGCAACTTGAAGTTACCCCTTGAGGAGCTCACTCAGCTCTGCTTGGTCCATGTGGGCAATTTCGGTGTGGGAGATTACTCCCAGCTTCAGGTTGTCCCACATGTAGGCAATCATTTTAAATGGAATGCCGTTAATGTCTGGGATCTCCGCGAGCTGTACGGGCATGCCCTTCTCGGCGAAGGTGATCTTGATGTCACCATGGAGCTTTAGACGTTCCACCTTGGTGACTCCCATGATCCCATTACTTTCAAAGAACTTCTGGATAACTAGGAGGTTTAGTTTCTTGGGGCAGGTCGGCGTATCCGGACGTATCCGTGCCACGTTATCAAACTCGTAACCGTTCATGGTGAGAGAGAGGGTTAGAGAGTGACTGACAACTGAGAGATCACCACGAGGTCAGGTCTTAAATAGCGGGGGTTGGCGTGGCTTAGTAGTTGACCCCCGCTCCGTGGGCGGAGCTGGTTGACCCAGACCACTAGGCATACACTGGGGAATTCAAGGGGTGGGCTACGCAGCGACAAACAGCGTTTGTAGGGGAGAAATCCACTACACATTGTTCTAAAGATTTTACCGTAATCGCTTTTCGAATGGTTTTCAGTTAAAAACTGTTGTACAGTATTACAATAATATTCTATCCTAATTCACTTGAATAAATACTACGATACCTTATTTCTGAACATTTTCATTAAAATTCATCAAAATTATTTTCCTTGTCATCGTCTTCAGCACCAAACAGCTCCTCCCAGTCTTCTCCTTGAACAGGGCGAGAGGGTACGTGCTTTTCGAATCGTTTTCAGTTAAAAAACTGTTACAGCACATGTATATTTTACCTAAACTGCACCTCAATGAATATATACTCAGAAATAAATAGTAGTTTTGCTGAAAAGTAATGTATTTCAATGTAAATTAGGATGAAATACATGACGAAAACAAAAGACTTTACCTAACCTTACGATGTTCAAGAGATGTTACTCGTTTTCTAATAGTTTTCAGTTAAAATACTATTATATTACAATGATATTCCATTCATACTGTGCTTGATTTAATACATTCACGGAAATGTAAGATTTTGCTGAAATGACGTACGGACTTGTGGAAAGTGGGATAAAATCATGACGAAAGCAATGATTCGCTTTCTTTCGTTCAAAAGATGTTACTGTAATCGCTTTTCGAATGGTTTTCAGTTCAAAACTTTTGCATCACAAGTGAATTAGGATACAATATTATTGAAATAAAACAGTTTTTAACTGAAAACCATTAGAAAAGCGATTACGGTAACATCTTTTGAACGAAAGAAAGCGAAAGTCATTGCTTTCGTCAGTTTCCACTGTAATACAAACATCATTTCAGCAACAATAATACATTTCCATATTCTCAGAAATAAATAGTAGTTTTGCTGAAACGTAATGTATTTCAATGTAAATTAGGATAAACTACATGAAAACAAAAAACTTTACATAACCCTCCAATGTTCAAGATATGTTACTCGTTTTTTTAATAGTTGCGGTTAAAATACTGTAATACAGTCAACCCTCACTTTACGCGGTCCCACATTCCGCGTTTCCACGTTTACGCAGTGCCCTGCCGGAACCCAGGATGCTCACATTCCGCGGTGAGTGTACCCCTTTACACGGAGAGTGTCCGGCTCGTCGCTATTTTTAGATTCGCCCCACCCACCTGCTCCCGCCTCCTCCCTCCTCTGCCTCCGTCTGGCCAAGCCGCGCGGTAAGGTTGCACAGTGCATGTCTCTGTTGCGTTATCACTGACGTCATATGACGTATTGGACTGTGATTGGCCATGCATCCCTACCTCCCTCCGCTGCTAGCTGTAATTGGTTTAAAGTAATATGACGTGTCCACCCGGGGGAGGGAGGGAGGGAGGGAGGGAGGGAGAGAGGGAGAGAGGGAGGGAGGGAGGGAGGAAAGACGACGCTTGACCTAGCCACGGCAGTTTCATCCCTCCAGGCCACACCGTGTAATCGTGCATCCATTGTTCTGTAAAATGGCTTCCGCCGGACCACCACCCCCAGAGAGAAACCTTTCCTTGCCTGGACCCAGCCGTCCTAAGCCCAAGAAGAAATGACGTTCCTTAAGCTTCGAGGTGAAGTACAAGATCATCCAAGAGTTAGAGAAAGGAACAAGACAGGTTGATTTTGCGCGCCAGCATGGTGTGAACGAATCTACGATCCGGACGATAAAGAAGGATGCAGCCAAGATAAAGGAACACATGAAGATCACAAAGTCTACAGGTGCTTCTATGATCAAGTATTTTCACAACCAGGTGCTTGTCAAGACAGAAAAATTACTTGTGAGCTACTTGGTGCGTCAGGCGCGACGGAACATGGCGGTCGACACGCGCTCTGTTAAGGAGTACGCACGTGAACTGTATGCTGCAGTGTCAAGAAAAAGATGGTAATTACAGAGCCCAAACCCTTTAATGCTTCCTCTGGGTGGTTACAGAGGTTTAAGATGCGGAACAAGATCACCAATATAAACATTGGTGGTGAAGAAGCCAGTGCTGACCGTGCTGCGGCTAGGGAATTTCCTCAATTTTACGTGAGATTATGGAGGAAGGACAGTACACCGACGACCAGGTGCTTAACATGGACGAATCTGGTCTTTTCTGGAAGAAGCTACCTTCCAAGACCTTCGTTGTGAAGAATGCCAGCAAGTGTCGGGGCCGGAAGATGCAGAAGGAGTGCATCACCGTCCTGTTTACCACCAATGCCTCCGGTACCTGTAAGCTCAAGTTATCGGTGATCCACACAGCCCGCAAGCCGCACGCCTACAAGAACGTGGACATGACCAAGCTAAATGTCCACTGGCTGACCGCACGTAAGGCGTGGATGTTCTCTACACTGTCCCTCTCCTGGTTTGATGACTGTTTCGTTCCGGATGTAAAGAAATTCTGTGAGCAACAGAATGTGCCATTCAAGATTTTG